GGTTAAAAATTACGGTTAAATATATCTAACCGTAATTTTTAACCGAAAAAATTATAATTTTTTTTTTTTTTTACTTTCTTTACGTTTTTAATGGGTTTTATTTTATTTCAATTAAATATGATTATTATTATTATTATTAATGAAAAAAATTAATTTAATTTAATTAATATTTTAAATTGATTCGATTGAAAGATAGATAGAAAGAAACGCGTAATATGAATGATTTTATAAAATTACGAAATATTTAGACGTAAGATTTTTGTTTCATGAGTTTTTTTCTTTTCTTTTCTTTTCAGAAGTTGCTGATGACATTGCCATTGGATCAAAATGAAATTATGAAAAAATAAAAAAAATAAAAAATATGATGAAGATGAATGCCAATCGCAGTAGTCCCGAATCAACACCCATATGCCGATGTCGCGTTTTGTACATGGGATCGGCTGTTCCACACGTAACGAAAGATGGGCTACAAGGAATACAAGAACCTTTAAAGGAATTATATCCGGAACAAGGAGCACTCGGTGCCAGGGGAATCGATTCTTGGTTAAGCGTTTGGAGTAACGGACTCTTATTGGAAAACGTTGACGAAAATCATAAAAAAGTTACGAGGTTTTTTCCCATTGAATCCCTTCATTATTGTGCGGCCGTAAGATATGTTTTGGTACCTGAAAAAGCTTCACAAAATCCTTCAACTCCTAAATTTCTGCCCCTCGACAGTCCCTTCGCGAGAACTCCCAATCCATCGCATCCTCCGTTGTTTGCCGCCATTTTACGACGAATAACAGGGATTAAAGTTTTGGAATGTCACGCATTCATATGTAAACGCGAAATGGCTGCAAATGCTTTAGTCAGATGTTGCTTCCACGCGTACGCGGATTCATCGTATGCGAAACACATAGACGAGAAAGGTAGTTTATACGGAAACAATCAGGGAAATGATTCTATCGATCGCGTAGAAATTTGGAGACAAACGTCTAAGAACAACAGCAAAAACGGAAGCACAACAACTTTGAACAGTCACGGTGGAAACTTGGGAACGTTGAGATCGGTCGATCAAATGACTTTGGGAGATGACGTGAGCGTTTACAACGGGAATGAAAATCATAAAGTTTGGGCCGGACTTTCATCCAATGAAAATATATACGGGAGCACGAACGTTGCTTACAGTTCGAATTCCATGAAAATCGGAAAATCGGCAAGGCCGAGGCAAGCAGTCACGCCGGCTCCTCCTCCTCCGCCTCCCTTTAAGGATGACAAAAAAAAATTAAAAAAAGAACAGGAAAAAAAACGGAAAAAGAATACAAATGAATACCGGGACGACGCAAACTCTCTCATAAATCATTCAATGATGAGGCATGCTCAAAGCGTTAATAATTTAAATACGAGAGGAATGAAAATACCGAATCAACCTGTTTACAGTAATGGGTCCCTCATGCGAACCAACGGTTTCGGTTCGACCCTCACTCCGAACGGATATTCGAATCCGATAATGTACATACCGACGACTTTACCCAATCACGGAGGTAAAAAAAAGTCTCTGCTTCACGCTGGCACGTTTTCGCACCGGCCTAAAAACGTAATGCCATTCCCCGCTAGACAAGTCCCTCCTCAATTCGTTCCTTTAACGTCTCCGGTCCCCATCGTACCATTTTCGTCAAAAAAATCCAAGGGAATACCGCCCGTGTACGCGATGGAAGAACCGTTATACATGCCATCCAACAGACCTCTGTCACCCGTGGCTAGTTATCAACCGGGACATTTTCCTCACGAATCGTACTTGTTACAACAATACGCAACAATGGAAAACGGAAAGAAAAAAAAGAACAGGAAAAATAAAGTGCCCCTAGCCGTACCTGTACCGATACCGACTCCCATGCTTCCCGACGGCGGGATTTACATGGGCAATCACGGTCTCACATCTTCGAACGGTCAAGGACCCGTGGACGTACCGTACAGTCCGATACCCAATGGTAATTCTCCATTGAACGACGAATCCATGGCAGATGGTTCTCCGGGAGACGACGACGAAAGTCCATTCAACACTGGAATATATCGGAAAAAGGGTCACTTGAACGAAAGAGCTTTTAGTTATTCGATTCGTCAAGAACATCGTAGCAGATCGTATGGAAGCTTAGCAAATTTAAGGTTTTCAACTCCGATGCACAACGGCGGGAGGTTCAACATTAAACCTGAACAAAGATGACTCAAAAAAAGAACGGGAAATAATGCAAATGATGCAAGATCTTGATTTATCCGGTGATGAACTAGAAAGATCAGAAGTTCCAAAAGCTGTTTACGAAAGTAAAAGGCTAGCAGCGATCACAGCAGGATCAAATAACGGAAAATTTTTAAGATGAAATCGTTTTTAAATTAAATCCTTTTTTTTTATATATATATAAAATGCAAGTTTGTATTAAATTGCTTCTGGTAAAAAAAAAAAAAAAAAATAATTAACATTTTACCAGATTTGAATTTTATACAAAGGATATAAAATGTTTTTATTTTTTTAAAACATAAATAATAATTATTATTATAACGATAATACAGTAAGTAGTAAGTACGTCATTTAAAATTTAAATTTTTATACATATATATATATATATTATTATTATTTACATTGAATTTTTTTTTGTCTTTTTATTAAATTATTTATAATTAACTAAACCTACTTTTTTTTGGGTAAACGTTAATTTTTCTAAAAAAAAAAAAAAAAAAAAGAAAAACTTATGATCTTAATTGAAACTTGCAATTTTTTTATAACGGTTATATTGATGACCACAGAAATGTTTTTTTTTTTTCTATCTTATGAAAAAAAAACTAGTTCTTTTCAAAACGTATCATAAAAATTTAAAGCTTTAAAAAAAAATTATTTACTACCCAGTGTTTAAATTTTCTATTGATTTTTAAAATATTCTCTCTATTTTGAAAGACTTACTATTATTATTATTATTATTTTTTTTTTTAAACCAATTTAAGTTCATAAGGCGAAAAAAAAGAAATTGTAATCTTTCAAAATGTTACATTATTATTATTATTATTATTATTATTATTATTACAGTATTATATATATTATAAGACACGTGATGAAAACATTACGTAGTAAAAATGAGAGCATTAAATTTTTTTTTTTTTTGACTCGACTATTTATTATTATTATTATTATTCTGTTTCGCTAGATACTATTTAATCATATAAAAAAAAATGAAATGTTTGTATACATACACGTACACTTTTTTATATATATATATATTTCGCGAAAATTATATTAATGTCGTTTTGTAAATAAATATCGTTTCATATACTTTTATTATAATAAATTTTTTTAAATGACAATTATTAATTATAACAATTTAAATAATGTTATTTATTATTTTATTTTTTTTTTTTTTTAATTTTAATCGATCCGTTTATACAATACAAATCTAATTTTTTTTTTTTTTTTGTTAACTAATGTCAAATAATTTAATGTAAATTTTTGTTAATGTCGACATTGAAATAACTTTTTTTTTTTTTTTTGGCTAGTTTTCATATAAATTTCTATAACAAATGATTTAAATGAATGTTTCCTCATTAATTTAAATAATTTTTTTTATTAGGTATAGATTGTGGCAGTTGTAAAACATGGGAAAAAGAAAATTTTCAATGAAAACAAGTTAATTATTTGAAACTATTCAATAGAAATTCACATGATGTCTGCACATTCCAATTATTTTCAGTCATCTTAAAGGTAAGTAAACATACAAATTTTTTAACATATCTTGTAAATAATCGATAATTAGTTATTACTTACTTACGTTTAAATTATTTTTATATCTTCTGTCATTCGAATGACGAATCGATAAAAACGTGCATTCCAATCTCGTGATTACTTATTTAAATTTTCAGGGTTAGTTACTTAATTAAAAAAGTGTTTTAACAACAGGATCTTAGTAAAAAAAAATAATAAATAATTAAATTTCACGTTTTTAAAATAATTGTTTTCCATAGCAATATAAATAATTTATAGAAATTCCGTCGGACAAATCACAAATAAAATTATCACAAGAATATAAAATTTAAGTAAAATTAATTACGTGATTCATAGAGTAAGAAAATTCAAAAAAGAAATAAAATTGATTGGCTAACGCGCGCGAAAAAAAAAAATTCCCTGTTGCGAGCGCGGTTTTAACAGCAGAAGAAAACGAACGCGTAAAATGTTTGGCAATAAGTAAAATTTAAAAAAAAATAAAAATTTACATGGAAAATAAATCTAATGCAAATTCAATTTGGACCGAACGATTGAAAATAAATTCATTGAAAAAAAAATGGATAAGTTTAATGTCTCAAAGCAAAATAAATGAAATAGAAAAACTTTTAGCTGGTGCAAACAATGCATTGAAAGTCAGGTTTATTAAATTGGAATCGGAAAAAAGTTTGAGTGATATACCGAGAATTAATTCGGATGAGATGATTCAGTTGCCCTGTAATAAAAGTATATTACACGATAAATCATATAAAAAAAATAATAAAAATTATTTACATAAAATTCATGCCGCAGGTAAAGAAAACTTTAAAGACGAAAAAGATCGAATCAAAACAGATTTACAAGTATTGCAAAAAGATGTGGCAGATTTAAAAGAAGCCATGCAAAATCTTATAATTAAAAGTTCGAAAAATCCTAGGAGACGATTTCCGTAGACAGTATTACAAAAAAAATAAATAAATAAAAAACCTTGGCATTAAATTTATTTTCAATATATTAAAAATTTTTAGTTGAATATATATAAATATTTGGCATTATATAATGTTAAAATGTAAAAAATTAAATTTTTTTAAATTATTACTGTAGAAATGTTAGGTTTAAAAAATATTTGGTGAAAAGTTTTAATTGAGATTTGATTTGTACATTTTTTTTCAAAATGGCCGCTATACACTGAAAATCACATCGGGTAAAAATACATAACGAGAAAATGAAGAGACACATGCATTATTTCACTTTTATGACAATCATGAAACGCCATTAATAAACTAATTTTATTTATTATTAGTTAGTGGTTCGTTTAATTAAATTTATTAACAAGGCATAATTTTAATATTTTTCTTTATAAGGAAATTTTTAATAACGAATTCGAAAAAATACATATATGTACATAGATAATATTTATTATTAAAAAAAAAAAGTTTTTAATTTGAAAAAATTCGATTTCTCATTTGAATTTATATTTAATTCGTGATAAGCATTTAGTGATCCATAAGAGGAATGAATAATAATGGTTGATTCCTTTTTTTTTCACTACGTGAAATAAATAAAAATTCGAATTTATTATTTGACGTTAGATTTTTTTAATATATCACGAGCCTTATTAAGATCTTCTTTTAATATTTTCATTGTACTCAAAACATGGGCGATTTGTTCTTTTAATTTGTTCACTTCTTTTTTACACGTTATATTTTCTTCATCAAATTTTATAGTTTTTAAATGAAGTTCTTTCAACATTTCCCTTGAATTTTTTACCTTTTTTATTGCTTCTTTTCCATCATTGATTTTTGTTTTTTCATTCATATGTGCAATTGTTAAGTTCTGTACTTTTCATAACATTTTTTTTTTTTTTTGTAAGAAATAAAAAAATAATCATTTACTACAAAAAAAAACAATTAAAAACAAAAAAAACTAATTAAACGTTATTCTGAAATATTAAAACAGAAATTTTTTAAATTCATGAAAATTGATTATTATGGCAATAGTAAATAATAACCCAAATTAATTAATTTTTTTTTCTTATAAAGGATACATAACACCATAAACAAATAAAAATTTATTTTTAATTAATTGTTAATTTAATTTAAAATTAATATAAAGTAGTGGCAGTGGCATTATTTATAGAATATTTAACATTCTACACTCATACATTTAAAAAAATTTTAAATATTGTTGTTGTTGTTCTAATTAAATTAAATTAATTCTTCGCGAAAATCATTATTGATTTTAAATTTAAATTTTTTTTTTTTTTAAACCGTTTTAATGTACGATACAGTAACATTTAACACTTTCACATTTATATTTCATCCCAATTTTAAATATTTAAAAAATAATAATAATAATTTCAATTAAATTGTTAAAACATGATTTTTTATTCACAAAAGAACCAAACATATTTAAAATATATATATATATATATTGTAAATCATTGATAAAAAAAAACTGAAATTATTTCTCTGATTTGATAGTTAATAATATAAAATTAATCATCTTTAAGATAAAGCTCATCCATTTCATTAAATTTGTCAATATACTTTTCAGGGACTTCCAAATCTTTTAAATTATTTTCATTTATTTCTTCTTCAGTTCTGCAAAAAAATAAATAAAAAATATAATAGTATAAATAAAATTAAACTTTAAAATTATCAAACAATCAAAATCTCATAATTATCTCACCTAATAAGAATATCAACTAAATTTTCGCAAGCCAAAAGAATATTTTTATCTTTTTCCCACTTATGATATTCTCTAAGGATAACATAAACATTTTTCTCTCTCATGAATTCCCTGTTTTTTCTTTTTGCACAAAGCTAAAATAAAAAATTAGCAATTTATATCAATAAAATATTGCAAAAATAAGCAATTAATAAACTCATTTATTTTAGCTGAATTATTTCGAACATGTTGTTTAAAAAAATTTTTCAACCTGCAAAAGAGCTTCCAAAATTGTTTTTCGAACTGTAGGATCTGATTCTCGTGTTTTTTCTTCCCCCAGATATTGTAGCTCGATAGGTAATTTTTCATTATCTTCATCATCAAATTCTTCAGAACCAGCTAATGGTAAAAGCAAATATGGAAGCACATCAATATCTGAAGATAATAGCCATTCATGATAGTCTGTAATAAAATGAAATAAATTTTTGACACTCTCATTAAAATCCAAATTATAGAAAAATTATTGAGCCATGTTTATTCATATAAATTTTATTTACCTGAATCAAAACAACAATTTTTTATAATTCCAACCACTCCATTTTTTCTAACTGAAGACTCGGAAAGCTGAATAAGAGGAAATAATTTTTTAATTAGGGATGTGTTTGGTTCCAACAATAATCTGAAAAAACATTTTTTTTTTTTTTTATTTAAATGTAAAATAAATATCTTAAAAATTTTTTTTTTTACTATTGCCATTCATTAAAATTTTTATGAAATAAAATGTATATAAATATCTATGGTGTTCTGATAGTATTAAATTATTTAATATTGTACTTACTTTCGAAAGTCATTGATTTGTGACAAATTTAATAAAAAAAATCCTAAATAATTTAAATTACATTCTTTTTCATTGTATTTAACAGCTACAAAAATATTAATCAGATCTAATAATGAAATGTTGGCTTCATTTAGGCAATTGAAAACTATTTTAGCATTTTCATCCTGTTGAGTTAAATTTGCTAAAACCATACAGGCTGCATCTGCTACCTTGCTTTTTGAATTAACCACATGGCTAACAAGGCTTTTTAATAATTCCTAAAATAAAAAAATTTTAAGTAATGTGTAATAACTTTTTATCAACTAACTAAAAAAAACTTTATCAAAATTATTACAACGATTGCTTAACATTTTTTAAAAATTTACATAATTTTTTGTAATACCATACGTACACATTTTAATTCTTCACTTAATAAAAATTTCGCTCCACTTTGAAAAGCTGATATATTTACTAATGAAAGGCAAGTTGTTTTAGATATAATTTCATTTTGACTTTTTAAACAATCAATTAATAATAATCCAATTTCAGGGTTTTCGATTACTGAACATCCTTCTCTGCTACCTGTTAACCCTTTTCCCGTGTAAAAAACATATTATTAATAATAAAGTTTTTTTACAAAACGTCGGCATAATAAAAGAAACAAAAAAAAATTACCTAATACTTCATTCAATGCTTTTATTTTTAAATTTTCTTGAACATCCTTTTGCAAAAATTTTGCTAAAATTTTTAAATGAGAACTATCCATTATAAATATAATGGATAAAGTAAGATTCGGTTAATTCATAATATTTAACACGTGACCAATATATTATAACACGAGCTGAGTAAACAAGAACGAAATATTGATGGCTCGGAAAATGAACGACATTTGCATTGAGTTTTACGTTTATGATGATTTAAATAGATTTTTAGATAAATTCATTTTGAATTCTTCATTGTTATGTGAACCTAAACAAATTGATTCACGCGAATTAGATGACAATAAATGTCAAAAAAAAAAATTTGTTAAAATTTTAAAAGTCGATGGATACTTTTTATCCGCGTTTAGTCATTTGATTAAGGTATCTGAATTTTATTCAAATGCAGTTGCCAAAGGCTTGATGCAGTCGTCATCACACATATATCCAAAAAAATGTTGCATAAAATTTCAATTAGTAAAACCTAAATTTGAAGTTATTGATTACGTGTGGAACGAGAAAATATCCAATTTGGTTTTACAGAGACAAGAGCAAGAGCAGGCCATGTCGTGGCTATCTACTCTTGGAGGTGCTTTTTCAGCTTTGGGAGATAAATTTGAAAATCATGTAAGATTCATCACATTTTAAATTTTTATATATATATTTATTTATGTGTTGAGTAAGAAATAATATGTCCCGTTTCAAGAATAATGATGTCTTAAATTTATAGGTTTCACATTTATGTATGTTTATTATGTCATTAATTGTTAATTTTTCAGGCAAAAATTGCTGGCAAAATTTCACTTCAACAACTTAAAATTGCCTTTCAACTTGGAGAGCCTTTGTTGGTAGCTAGATGTAGGCTGTATATAGCATTAAGTTTAATTCAGTTGGGAAAATTATCAGCTGCCAAAAAATTAATAGAAAACCTATATATTTTAGCCAAGGATTTTAAAGATGTGAGGTTACAGAACATGTGCAAAGGTGTGTGGGCTAAACTGCAGTATGTTCATAGTCAAAAAAAACTGAGTTTACAATAACATTTTAAAAAAAAATATGTATTTGAAATGTTTTATTGTTAGCAAATTAATTTATCTAATAGTTATCGAATCCATAAAACGAATAAATATTTTTAATTTGGCAAATGTCTAAAATTATTAAATGGTTAAATCAAAGTCTCGTTAATTTGTTTAAAATAATGGGTTTAGGCATTTGACTTTTAAATAACATCACAGCTCTTTTTAAAATAATTTTGTTGCATGATTTTTTATTGTTTACCAATTTAGTTTGTAAGGGAATTGTTTTTTTAAATATTTTTTTTTTCTGGTTACTGAAAATATTAAGACTGATCTACAACAAATACAATTCAATAAAGTAATTTAATTTTAATAATGAAATTGTGTTTTAAAAAAGTTTAATCATTATTTGAATATTCTCTAAATGCACTATGTCAAAAATAAAAAAGTAACAATGGATTCTTATAAAGTTATCCAAATAAAACTTTAAAAATATGACTAAAAAAAAAAATTTATTATTGGTAGCGTCAGTCATTCAAAACTATAATATCACTGTTAATTATTAAAATATTTATTGCAAAACTAATGTAAATTAAAATATAAGTATTTATTTTTTATATGTTTATCCTATTTATTTTATAAATATATACAAATTAACATTTTTTAAAAAATTGAGTAAAATGGTTGGAAATTAGGCTGTGATCAATATGCTCTTCATCTGTTTCAATAAATTAATTTTGCATATATATTGGAAAATAATATTTTGTGTATTATACACAAAATCAATATGTTAATTAGTGAACTTTATATATTTATTATATTTCTTAAATTATTGTAGGAGATATAATATTTAATAATTATTTATTATTATTACTAAAAACTAAAACTAAGTGAATAAAATATTGTACTAATTAGTTTTTATCACCTTTAAATTATCCTTCTTTTTCAAATTTACAATTTATTGGATTATTTAATTGTTATTAATTAGGTATATACATATATAATTTTTTATAAAAAAAGAACAGTCATGATTTACACAATTACGAACAATATTTAAACATTGATCTATCTCTTTTTTTTTTCATTTAGTTCTTTCTATTTAACTAAATGATTTGGTAAAAAATTATTAATGATCATTATAGTTAGGAGAAATTAACATTAAAAATCAGTACTCTACGTGACTTAATTTTTAAATGTGTTTGTATGAAAAAAAATTATTTTTTATTTATTAAGTAAAGTACACAAAATTTTAAATGAAACTGTAAAATTTTTGTAAATTTTTATGTTTGTACTAATGTAATTCGAAGGTGTTATTGATTTTTAAAAACGAGTAAAAACTATTGTTAACATATATGAGAAAAATAATTGTTAACATAAAACCGCTAAGATTATTAAATTTTATTAAAAAATGGATGTACACCATTTACAATTTTCATTTTCAAAGAATTACATGTGGTTTTATGTTCAATTAAGGAATACATTCAATTTATAAAGATTATTTAATAAGTTTTATTGAATATCACTTAAAATAGCTTGTGGTTGGTGAAAACTTAATTTTTTTTTAAATATCGTATATTTAACTAGCGTGAATTGTTTAAATTAATAATTGAATATTTATATCAATTTTTTTTATTCTAATTTTGTTAATAATCTTTAATGAAACAGTATTATTTGTTTTTTTTTTTTTTTTTTTTTTTTTTTTTTTTTAAATGCAATTTAAAATGATCGCGAATGTTTTCAAGTAAACGATAAAGTTTTGTACGCCGTTCAAAAAAATTATACTTTGTAATTGATTCAAAACTTTACAACAGTGGTTTTGAATTAATTCAGTAGGATTTACTTTCATACACTGATTTAATGATAAGAAAATGTTTCTGTGTCAGTTTGACATTCAATAATTGTATTTGTTTTTTTAATTAAAATCAGCGGCGGCCTAATAAAAAGCAATAAATGATGTTTTACCATGGCTGCTTCTGGCGTAAACTTGGAAAGTGAAGAAGATGCTAAATGGGCAGATTTTTGTGATGTTCAAGCAAAAACTGTTGCTACCGATTTAGCCAATGCTTTCTGTAAATACTCATCTTCGTTAGCAAATAATTTGCAAACTTTGTCACACAAAGAATTTATTTCAAAGTTTATGGATTTTTTTATTGTTCATTTTGAGTCAGAAATAGCCAAGAGGAATTCTTTGAAGGATGTTAAATTTTTAAACGGATCGTCCAAGCCTAGCAGTCACGAAGACTTAAATGATTATTTTGAACAAAGAAATAGTACACCATCTCCCAAAGTACACCACAAACCTTTTTTTCGTAGACTTTCTTTCAAAAGTTTGAAAAAAGGCAAGGGGTTTTTTCATAAACAACACAGTGATGAAACTGAGCTGTCTCATCAAGAAAAATCTAGGGAAAAAAGTTCAAAAACAAAATTGGCTAAAATTGTAGTCGAATGTAGGAAGGAGGGTATTGTAAATTATTTAATAGGAGAAAATAATGATGGAACTCACAAATGGGAGAAATGTCGTTTAGCATTAGTTAAAACTGTTGGAGGTTACATGTTAGAATTTTATTCTCCACCCAAGTCTGTCAAGCCTAGAAGTGGAGTTTTCTGTTTTTTAATAACAGAAGCTAGAGAAACGACTGCTTTAGAAATGCCTGATCATGAAAATACATTTGTTTTAAAAGCAGAAAATCATATGGAATATGTTATTGAAGCACATGATACTGATGACATGAGATCTTGGTTGGCAACTATTAAATATTGTATGAGAACAGCCTTAACTATTCATGAAAATTTAGAAGTTAAAAGTTTGCTTTGTTCTGATGATAAAAAATCAAAAACAAATATTCCTTCTTCAGAAAGTGTTGAAGATAATATAGTTGAAAATGAAAACAGAGCTGTGCCTCCTGAACTTCCACCTAGAGTTACAGGTTCTGGAACATTAAAAAATGGTGAGAATTCAAATTCATGGGTTCCATCAAGTAGTAATTCAGAATTGTGCGCTTCAAGAAATGACATTGAAACTTGTAAGTTATTTATATAATTATCTAGATAATTTAACATTTTCTTATTATAAAATTTTTTTTGTTCTTAATGTTTTTTTCAAATTACGATTTTTTTGAAAAATGTTTTTAGTAAAATACCATATTGAACTATTTCTAATCAAAAATATAATTTTTGAATTGTTGACAATGACTATGCTGTTAACGACACCTAAATTTAGTACACCAAATTTTTTTTTAAAAATTGAGTAACTCTATTATTCCTTTTGAAACATTTTTGTGTTTTTTATTTTTACTCAAGTAAAAATTTAATAGGGCATGTATTCTACCTATGCAAAGTTTTTAGAGTATTTTTATTCTTAAATTTTACCTATAACTTTTACATTATTTCTATATCATTTTCAATGCATTATTTGTTTTAATCAATGTTCATTTTTTTTAGTAGCTGAAACAGAATTAGATTTATCTGCTGCATTAAAAGAATACCCATGGTTTCATGGGACACTGCCAAGATCGGATGCTGCCCAATTAGTTTTACATGAAGGTATTGCCGGTCATGGAGTATTTTTGGTTAGGCAGAGCGAAACTAGGAAGGGAGAATTTGTTTTAACTTTCAATTTTCAGGGAAGAGCCAAGGTAATATGAATAAAATGTACTCTAAAATATCATTTTAAATTTATCATATTTATTAATTTATAATAATCATCTTCATTTTATAATATACACAATATTACAATGAGTCCTTTGTTATTTGACTATTTTTTAATTTAATTTTTTTTTCATAAAAAATAATTAGTGCCATTTTCAGCATTTTAATAATCATAATAATAACTAAATATTAACATATATATATTTATTTCACTGTTTCAGCATTTGAGAATGACCTTAAATGATTTGGGACAGTGCAGAGTTCAACACTTGTGGTTTCCAACCATTATAGACATGCTTGAACATTTTCGGCAGCATCCCATACCTTTGGAAAGTGGTGGCACAGCAGATGTAACTTTAACCCAGTTTGTCATTGCTTCGAGTGCCACTGTTTCTAACAATGTCAGTGCGAGGAGCTCAAATGCAGATAGGAGACTTCCTCCTAATCCCGATCCCGTAGAGGTGATTCCTAAACTTTCATGATGGAATGAAGATATATGAAGAAGATTTTGAATTGCCTGAGCATAGAGAGGTTGATAATATGAATTTCAACTGACAATTAATTGAACGCGATAAATTTATTAGTGACTAAGTAAACAGTTACTTTACGATAATCAACTAATTTAGGGTGATGGGGGAGAAAGAAAGAAAGAGAGAGAGAGAGAGAGAACGAATGCAAACTAAAGAGAGAGAAAGAGGGAGAACAAACACGAACGAATGAGAGGGTAAGAGGGAGAGAGAGAGAGAAATAGAAATAGTAATTTGATTTTTAAAAGAAAATCTTAATCCGAAAGTTGAGTTATTTAAGGTCTTTAATTTGAAAGGGATTGTTAATTACCTCAGCACATAAAACGCTGTCAAAAATAGGGTTTAAGAGTTTAGAAAGCTTTAAATATTATTTAAAAAAATTTTTAATTATTTACAAGTTTAATTCTAGTCCTTACATCCATTATTATATTTATCATATCAATGCGAAATTTAAGGTGGAGTTTTCATAAAATAATTCTAAGGATTTAAAAATCTTAATTAATATAACCTGAAAAATATATTTTTTTCATTACATGTCTTGTCTATGATCGTATGAGTGGTAAATGAGTGAATCAGTAAAAAAGTGATTGAATTAAAATCAAATATAACTTTTGAAAAAAAAAATTATTTAAATGGTTCCTACTCGTTATATAAATCGGGTATTAAAATATATTTTTTCCAGGTCGAATTCTTTTAAATTTTTCGATTTATAATTAATATAAAAAATTATTATTATTATTTTCCTTAGAATTTTGAATTACTTTTAAAATACGTGTTGAGGAACTTCAAATTTTGTAAGAGCAAAGAGAAAAATTATTTATTTATTTATTTTATTTAATTTCAAATTTAAAACATTTTATTTTTTATCAAGTTGCAAAAACTTGATTCAATAAGAGGTTATTGAAGTTTAAAAAAAAAAAAAAAAATTTTATAAAACCGTTACAATGTCTTCTTCATGAAAAATTAATATTTATTTTTTTATTTTAGTATTTAAACTTTGAATAGTTTGTTATGAATTTGATGTAAAGTCTATTCGTACTTTGAAATTTGCTAAAAAAAAAAAAAAAAAAAAAGTAAAAATTTTTATTGCACTCTTTATTTTTCATAAAGATTATTTAGTTTTTGATTTTATTTATTTTTTTTTTAAATAATTAATATTAATAAATTAATAAAATGTTGGGTGCGATAAAAATAAAATTGTATATGTTGAAAAATATTATTTATATGTGTAACAAATTTACAAAATTTATGTTTTTTTTTTTTTTTTTTTAAAATAATACTTTAAAAGGGGAATGAATTTTTTAATATTTAATTTCAGGTTGTTATATACAGTGGATCCATAAGGACGAGAACAGAGTCGATGGAAAGACTTAATAATGATTTAAGGACGAATGGTGTAGTAGAAGGATCCATACTTCAAAATTCACGTGCAATTGAAAATATGTATAGCTTTATTTAATTGTTAATTGTTTTTTTTTTTTTTAAATTTCTCTTCTCATTGACTTTTGAGTTCAAATAATCACTATTTTATTTGTAACAAAAAAAAAAAAATTCAATGGTTAGAAATTTTTTAAATATTTACATTTCTGAAATGAATTCAAAACGTTTATTTAAGGCATAATAATCACTTATAATATAATTAAAAAAAAACTAATGAAATGATTTAAACAGATTAAATTTCAAAAGTTTTTTTCAATTTTTTATTATTATTGGTGTTTTTTATAATTTTTTAATAATTTGTTCGTAAAAAAAAAAAAGAATTTAATATTTAAATATTACCGTGCATCAATTCTAATGAAAAATTTTAGTCATTGGAAAAAATGCACATTTTACTAAATGAAACGTATTTATGTAAAACTTGAGCTATATATAATATTTATATTTTCTTTTTTCTTTTGCATTATTTAGTGAATTTTCAGTGTAATATAGATTTAGAAATAATTATATGGTGAATTTCTAGTCATATACAAAAATACAAAGACTTTAAATAAATTGTTTAAAATTTAAAAAAAAAAAAAAATTACTTGGTTTTCTTTTTAATTTATGCTTAAATTCAAAGTTACTATAATAAATTAATTAACATGAAATTTTACTCCTAAAATCAATTTGTATTATTCGTTGTCTTTCCTTTTAATATTCTTTCTTTAAAATAATTTCTTTGCTAATACATACTAAAAAAAAATTTCAATTGTTGGTCATTCCTTTAATTTTATTTTAGTATTTAATTGGCTTTTGTTATGTTACAAATTGAAGAAACTTGTGCCTAAAATAATCATCAATAAAACAATTTTATCACTCACTATTTAAAAACTAAAAATTTTAAATAAAAAAATTATTGCAATTTAAATTTATAATTACTATAATTTTTTTAAATGTTAATTTTTCTTTATATTTTTTTACATGTAATTTTTCATAATTTTCAATTGAAATTGAAATTAATATGAAAATGTTATTAATAATTTGATTTTTATTGTGACTTTTTGTATTTTCTGAACTTTAAAAAATAATTATTAAAACTTTTAATGGTAAACTTTACCTGTTCAGAAGTAATATTGCTTCTAAAACATAAAGAGTTTGCAGTCTTATAAAAAGTTGTTAAAATTGTCAAGGTATTTTTTTTAGTGAAAGTAATATATATGTTTAATTATCATGTACGAAACTATTTATAACTGTTATAACAGAGAGTAAAATTGCAAAAAAAATTTTAATCTTACATTTTGCTATAGTTAAAAAAATTTTTTTTTTTTTATTTATGTTCAAACTTTCAAAGTTTTAAGCAAAAAAAGGTGGGTTGCCGCCATTTAGGGTTTTTTAAGCGAATGTTTTAAACCTTTTAATAAGAAAATATATGACAAAAATGAAGATTCATTTCCTATTTGTGAAATAGGTATTTGAAATGGGAAAGTATTTATAAAAAATCATTATTTAAAAATTAATTTATTAAAATATAAATATTGTACTATTAATTTTAGGATAAAATTTGACGCATGCGTTGTGATTTCACGGCCATTTTGAAGTAGTGATAAATTCTTAAATACAATTAAGTTAGTGACACTCGCAATGTTTTGCATTTATACCTTAATTTTAATTAAAAGATAACAGTAGTTTTGATTCGAGGTAAGTTGCATAAAAATTTACTTAAAATGTATCGAGTTGCGAAAAGTTTTATTTTTATTAGAGTTAAAAAGGTCAAGTGCAATACTTTTTTGTTCTGAAAACAAAATGGCTCATACTTGAATATAATTTAATATTCGGTTTCATTGTTTACGATATTAACTGTTTAAATTAGTACTACCGCTATTTAAAAATAAATTTTATATAAATCAGAGAGGTAAAGTCCGCAAAAAAAATACACAAATGGCAAAGTATTGGGTTTTATGTCATTTCCTGTGTGTAGATAATAGATCAGGAAGTTAATAGGCCTAATATTCTTATAAAATTTATTTTATAACTTTGATTGAAATGGAATTTTTTTTTTTTTAAGTACTGAAGTAATTCTTTTGAAAGTTTTTCCATTATTTCATTTAAGTTTAATATTATCAGTTAATGGGTGAATTTATTTTACTTATAGTTATGGCAATTTCCTAATACTGTCACTTTTATTTATTTCTTCATAATTAAATAAAAAGATAAATATGTATTTTACCTTTTTTTTATTAAATTTTTTTTTTTTTTAGATTTTATTTCCATGATTTTATTATCAATGGAGAAGTAGTAAGTATGGCTTGGTCAATTTGGTAAAGTTAGTTATTTTATTCAAATAGGATTAATAATTTTTATTTATTGTATTTATTTTTTAATTCAAGTTATAATTTTAATTGATTTTCATAATAATTGTAAACATTTTTAAATAAAAGAAAGCACTAAAATACAACATTAATTTTTAAAAAAAATTAATGTTATTGAAGTATTAAAAGTATTATACCAATATAATTTAAATTAGGTGACAAAATCTTTAATTAACAAAGACTTGACTCTATTATTGCTGTTCTTATACCATTTAATTATTATTATTTTTTATTTTTTATTTGTAATTTTAACCGACAATAATATTAAAAATTTTTCGAGGTATAATAACAATGAAAAATATTTTTTTAAACTTTGTTCTATCTAAAATTTATTACAATTTTGAAAATTATTGCAATATGTTAAAAAAATTATATATATATATATATTACTCTGATTTAATTATTTAACCTTATTAAATTTTTCATTTTTAGTAACAATATTATTGTAATTCTAATTCGTTTTAATTTGACGACTATTGAAGTGTTTGCATAAGTTGGGAATTTTTATTAATACTTAAAGTTATAATTATTACTAAGTATTTCTTAGTAATATGTAACTAATAAAATTTATTAATATTTTAAATGAGTAATTTTAACTAATGCTGACACAGGAAACTCTAAAAATGTCACCTGATCAACTGAATTTAATTAAATAGTTAACTTTATTTGAAAAACATTTTTTTTATAATTTAAATTTTAACGATTTGTTTTTTTTTTTTTCTTTTAAGGAAAAGTATTAGCATATGGTAGTTCAAAAAAGAGCAGTTTAAAAAAAAAAAAAAAATTGTAATTGTTTTATTTTTACAACCTTTCACATTTCAAAAAAAAAAAAAAAAAAATCAAAATGCCAGCTGTTTCAAGGCCAGGAAGTTTAAAAGATCCAGAAATTGCTGAGCTCTTTGATAAAGAAGATCCAGAAAAAATTTTTGAAGACTTAAGGGAAATAGGACATGGTAGCTTTGGCGCCGTTTATTATGCCAGGTGTCTTTTGACTAGAGAAATAGTGGCTATAAAAAAAATGTCATACCTTGGAAAACAAAGTTTAGAAAAATGGCAAGACATATTAAAGGAAATTAGATTTTTAAGACAATTAAAGCATCCAAATACAATAGAATATAAAGGTTGTTTTTTGAGGGATCATACAGCCTGGGTAAAAAAAAAAAAAAAAAAAAAGAATCAGTATTTAATTAAAAAATTAATATTAATAATTTTTATTTATTTATTAATTTTTGATTATTTATTAAATTTCAGCTCGTAATGGAATATTGTTTAGGATCCGCTTCAGACATAATTGAAGTTCACAAAAGACCTTTAAAGGAAGAAGAGATAGCAGCAATTTGTGAAGGAGTTTTAAGAGGACTAAGTTATTTACATTCTTTGGGTAGAATTCACAGAGATGTTAAGGCTGGTAACATTTTGTTAACAGAAAATGGAACAGTTAAACTAGGTAAGAAAAAAAAAAAAAAATTTTTTTTTCTAAATTAAAACTCATTATGTATACTCTATAATATAAAAAATAAAAAAAATTTTTTTTAGCCGATTTCGGTTCTGCTAGTATTAAATGTCCAGCCAATAGTTTTGTTGGGACGCCGTATTGGATGGCTCCCGAGGTGATTTTGGCCATGGACGAAGGACAGTATGATGGAAAAGTTGATGTTTGGTCTTTAGGGATAACTTGTGTTGAATTAGCCGAAAGAAAACCGCCATATTTTAACATGAACGCTATGAGTGCTTTATATCACATTGCTCAGAATGATACACCACAATTGCAATCATCGGAATGGAGTGAAGTTTTCCGTCATTTTGTTGATTCCTGCTTGAAAAAAAATCCAAACGAACGCCCGACTTCAGGCAAATTATTGTCTGTGAGTTATCTCCATTTTTTAATACCTTTTTTTTTATTTATTTATAATTTTTGTGTAGCGATAAAATAAATTTATACGAACGAATATTAAAATGAAAAATTTTATTCTAGCATCAATTAGTTACAAGGCAAAGATCTTCTCACGTATTAATAGATCTAATACAAAGAACCAAAGCTGCTGTAAGGGAATTAGATAATTTAAATTACAGAAAAATGAAAAAAATTTTAATGGTCGATTCATCAGAAAATGAAAGTACAGTTGGTGATGCCGATGGTAAGTTTTACTAAATTATAACATTTTTTTTTTTTTTTTTTTCTCATTTTATTTTTCGACGAGTATTTTTTTATTGCTCTGAACATATTTATCAGGATTGAAGTATGATTTAATATTTCATTTAAAACTTTGTTTAAATACTCATTTACTTTTAAACGCTTTCTAGAACAACATTTTTGGCTAGTCTCGAATATTAAACATTTTAAGATTTCTTTATATTTTTTTTTTTTTTTTTGGCATGGATGACTTTTTTTTTTTACAGTTACAAATTGAATATTAATTCGATTACACTTGATATTTGTTTTGAAATTGATTATAGTCAATTTTTTAATAGTTTTAATGTTGGTAATTTTAACAATTTTTGTAAAATTATTATTATTATTATTATTATAAAATTAGATACTCCGGACGAACAAGCAGGAGGGGATTCCAGTAAGAGCAATAGTATTACTTCTGAACACTCAATTCATTCAATGGGTGTTAGTGCTTCATCACAAAGTAGTAGTACAAATTCATTGCCACCTACAGATCCAAATTCGAGGAGACATAAGGTATTGTTGTATACAGTAAAAAAAAAAAAAGCAGTTTGCATAAAGTTTCAAGTTAAAAAAAATATCAAGTTTGTTATACATTCTATTACTTATGTTTATATAATATTCAATATTGCCATCGTATCTGAAACATAAAAAGTATTTTAGGTTAGCAATTCAAGAATTATTGGTGATCACGGTGCTAATAATTTTGCTACCATTCGAACAACATCAATTGTTACTAAACAACAAAAAGAACACATGCAAGAGGAAATGCACGAGCAAATGACAGGATATAAAAGAATGAGGAAAGAGCATCAGGGTGCTTTATTAAAGTTGGAAGAGCGTTGCAAAGTAGACATGGATACCCATAAACAATTATTGGATAAAGAATATGAGTCATTACTTCAACAGTTTAGCAAAGACCTTGAAAAATTACAAGTAAAACACATACAAGAATTAGACCGAAAGGTATTTCTTTATTATCATTTTTTCAATTATTTAATACCTTTTTTTTTGAATTAATTATTAATTAAAGATTTAAAAGAGCAGGAAAAAAATTTACAATCATTTTATTCTTTTACAATATTAATATTTAATTAATTTATTTCATTTTCAATTTTGAATTAGGCCTACTATAATGTGTGTGCGTAATGTAAAATAGTATTTTAAAATTTTTATTTATCGTCATTTCTACTAATTGTAAGAGTTATAATGAATTTATGTATTGAAACTAAAATTATTAGCGTTTTAAAACTGTACATTAAGAAAATTTTTGAAAAAAAAAAAAAAAAGAATATTTCAGGTTTTTAGGTTTTAATACAAAAATATTTTTTATGACCTTTTTTCAAAGGTTTTTTTTTTTTTTAGATAAAAAATTTTTTTGTTTAGGTTTTTACTGGTAATATGAATTTTAAAATTCAATGATTCGTGATATCCGTTATCCCTAAGGAAGACTAAATGTGAACAATCGTAAATTTCCCAGAGATATTGAATCCGGAGTATGTTCATTCATATTTCGGCTTACCCTAGGTTGTAAAATTTTCCCTTTTCATTAAAGACCACCCATACATTGATTTTGTATATTTTTATTATTATTATTTATTTATTTATTAACATGGATTGTTTTTTTTATTTTTTATTTTGATAATAATACTAATGAATCGTGTAAATTTATTTTCAGTATAAACAAAATTCAGCGGCAGAAAAAAAACTATTTAAAGAAATTAGCAGTAAGCAAGAAGCGGATAGAAAAATATTTGAAACGCAGAAGAAAAAGGAGTATAAAACAAATAAGGAGCGATGGAAAAAGGAATTAAGTTTGGATGAAGCTACTCCAAAAAGGCAAAGGGATGCCGCCCTTCAGTACGTTATTTTCTTTTATTTTCAATTTATACATTTTTTTTTTTTTTTTTTTTTGAAATAAAATTCATTCGTGTATATTTATAGGAGTCAGAAGGAAAATATGAAACAGCTTGAAGCTCAGGAAGAGCAAAGATTGATTAGAGGCCAAAAAGAATATTTGGATTTGGAGATGAGAAAATTTAGAAGAAAAAAAGTATTAGCTTGCCATAGTCTAGAACAGGAATTATTAAGGGAAGAATTGAAAAAGAGACAGCAACAATTAGAACAGGCACACGCGATGCTTTTGCGTCATCACGAAAAAACGCAAGACTTGGAATATAGACAGCAAAAAGCTGTCCATCAATTAAAAGAAGAGCAAATTCAAAAGCAACACCAAACAGAGCTGCAAAGTCAACAAGACTATACTGAAAGAGCTGAAAGAGAATTAAGAAAAAAACACGCTCTTGAGTTGAAGCAACAACCTAAAAGTTTGAAGGTAAGTTTATTATTATTATACTGTAACTTTTAAATAGTTTTCGATATATATATATATATAAATATATATAATTCAATTAATAATTTATTTTTTTAATTAGCAAAAAGAAATGCAAATAAGGAAACAGTTTAGAGAAACTTGTAAAATACAAACAAGGCAATATAAAGCTTTAAAATCGCAAATCCTTCAGACAACAGGCAAGGAAGAACAAAAAACTGTTATAAAAAAATTAAAAGAAGAGCAAAGACGAAAACTCGCGTTATTAGGTGATCAGTACGAACAAAGTATTGCAGAAATGTTACAAAAACAATCCGTGAGTATTGTCTATAAAAATGCATTACCGTATTGTGTGTGACACATGCATTAACGTGTGTGTATAAATTTTTTAGATACGATTAGATGAATCCCAAGAAGTTGAATATCATAATTTAAAAAAGAGACTGCATTATGAATTAGACATATTGACGGCTTATCAGTCTAAAAATAAAATGCAGTCTGAGGCTCAAAGAAATAGAGAGAGGAAAGAATTAGAAGATAGAATTGCAGTGAGACGATCCGTATTAGAGCAAAAGGTTAATATATTTTTAACTTTCTCTTCTTCTTATTTATTGTTATTATTAATTAAATCTATTTTTTTTTATAAATTAATTATAATTTTTTTTTTTAAATTTTCAGATGGATCAAGAAACTCAGCAATTTTTACAAGAGCGTTCCGAAAGAATAAGACTTTTACACGAACGACAGCATAGAGAATTAGAACAATTTGACGAAGAATCAGACAAATTAGGATTTAGGTGAGTACAAAAAAATCATCATTTAAAAAAAAAAAAAAAAAAAAAAATTGAATTTTGAATGCCGGGTATAATATGTTTATTATTTTATTTTGATGGTTTGGTATATACAGTATATTCTTAT